CACTGTTTTTATATAATTATAAAACTGACTTTTTGCCACATCTGCCAATGGCCAGTGACTTTACCAGTCATCATTTTTTTTTTTACCAGCAAAGAAACATACATTTTACAAATGTTATTCTAGAGCACTGATTAACTTTTCTTTATCTTTTGTTGTTTAATTAACATTAAAAACATACATCAGCAGGAATATTAGGTTGCTGTCACTTTAAGAGTGAATGCACAGATCCAATGTATTGATACACGTTTTCTTTTCTTAACTGTTTATGTTCGCTTGGACATTACTAACTGTGTATACAAGTATGCTTTCCAAGATAGGCATTTTGACTCAATTTTATTTGAATATGTCTGAAGAAGACATGAAATAGAGCTCAATTCAGTATTACGCTCTCTAAAATCGAATTGCGGGCATGCGTTTAGGATGTGTGGGCACAGAAAACTAATTGAGTTCCCTGTTACATCGTCTTGCCCTTGAAAATTTGAATAGGCGAGGCTTTGTACGAAGATGCAGCTCTTGCCCACCAACTGGCCCAACTCCCTAGCGTCGTTCACGTTGATGTGCTCACCACAAGTTTGCATTGTTAAAATTCATAAACATATTACCAGCCAACTGGCGATTGACACTGTTTCATAGACTCGCCAGCACTCGCGTTTTCCACTCGACGAGTGTTGATTTTAAGCCCAACCCATAAAAATAAAACATTTTGCATTTTTAGAATAATAAAAAAAACATTATTTTCATGATGAAGTGTTTATGAGGGGCTTTCTTGATTCACTAAAAAAGTTATGCAAATTAAGTAACACAATTAATCCAGAACTCAATATGCATCAGCAGTGACGCATGAATAACTTAAATACTCATGGCACAACACAATATCAACTTGTACACTGTAGCACCCAGTTAAGTTTGACCGTGGGTGGATTGTGAATAAGGTGCGCTAAAATAGCTCATTAAACTAGTTTTGTTTTCTTTTTCCTCAGACATTTGCCAGCTTGAGTATGACGCAGGAACTTGCTCAAGCTTTGCATTGAAATGGTACTTCAACATCCGCAGTGGTGAATGCGCCCAGTTCTGGTACGGAGGCTGTGAAGGGAACAGCAACCGGTTCCACACTCAGGAGGACTGTGAGAAACACTGTCTCAGGGCCAAATAAAAAGCATCTCCTAACAAATCCAAACTGTGATATCTAAATGCAAAAACCATTTATCTACGTTTGGCTGCTTCTGGATCCATGATTGTGTTCTCATCATGGATTATCAAATGGCAGCCGTAGAGGCAAGTCTTGAAGTTTTCACTAAATGTATCTGTACAGGTGAGTTAATACAGGCCTAATGATTTAATAGCAGATGTGTAGGACCTTAATCTGGAAAATGAAAAACTGCGTTATTAGCAACACCAGAAATAGTTGCAAAATTCAGTTTCACTTCATTCATTTCTCGGATAAACACCCCAAACTCAATGTTGTTGAGCAGAGCGCAGTTTGGTGCTATTTAAAGGCATCTTCACCTTTAACATAAACCTTTTTTAATCACCTTTATAAAACCTGAATTTCACAATATTCCCTCAGTTGGACTGGCCATGCTTTATTAAATGCAACTGTTAAGTGGAATAAAAATATTATGAAATTAAGAATATGTTGTACTTCATTTCTATTTTAGGAGCCCCTACATTTTGACAATTATAATCAAAGTAGTCTTTAATGCACGTTTCAGGCTATATGATGTTTAATACGCACTAAACAACAAACTGTTTGTTTAACCCTCAGAAACCCAACATTTACAATGCATTCAAGGTTTTATCAGTTCTCACTTGGCCTGGGAATTGAACCCATGGCCTTGGCGTTGCTTGTGATACGCTCCCAAGTATTGATATTGATATTATTTTCCTAAGTGTTTCTGGAAAGCCCCTGGATATAAAATCAGAAAACTGTCAAAATTGGGATTTGAGACTAACTAAACATTGGGAATTGAGAAGAAAATATTATAGGTCATCCAAAACAGTCAGAAATCCCAATTTTCCTGCCAAAATGAAAACACTTGATAGTCTGATTGCAAACCATGCAAACGTGTTATTTCATTTCTTGTTGCTTCAGTGAGTCTCTGAGGGTTTAGAGTCCCATGTTAAAAGCTGAAGTGTGTGTTTAGGTGTTCAAATACATCGTCCTATCCCAGTTTAATAAAGAGGCTGCTCATTGCAGAGCCATGGGTTGAGTCTGAAGTCCAGCTCCGCCTCTCTTGATGTCATTTGGAATTAATGGGTGGAGCTAAAGGTCCAATGGCAGACAGTGGGAGTGTAGGTTTGCTATTCTATATCCAGCTTTATGATGCGTCACAGGAAGAGCACAAAATACTTTTTCAATTTTCATTTTATAAGATTTAATGACAATCAACGGGTTCAGGTTAGTGTTGTAAAAGCACACAGTAAAATTGAGAACGTAGTACAGTGATTTCAGTCCGTTAACTTGAATCACACAATGTTATCGACCAGCATTAACTGTCCTGTCGGTTTAAGTGCAATCCCGGAGGCCGGTCAGAATCCCCCGTGGTATTATTGCTGATGTGAAGCATGTTCAGCCCTTATTCAGAGAGGAGGATAGTCTCCCTCAGTGACGACGTTGAGAAAGCACAGGGAATGTCCTTAAGCGAAACATATGAGCACTAAACAGAAGTCCTCTGATCGGCAGTCCACAGAGAACTTTCTATATCATTCATCAGCAACAAAAATATTTCTCACGCCACTTAAAATGGCTGATACCAGGGCCGATATCATAACAAGAACAAGTGGCCATTCACACAGAACGTGTTTTTACATTTCACTGCGCAACTTTTCCATAGTTGTTCAATGTAAACGTACTAGATGGACATCTTTAACCATTTTGCCGTTCTAAACTTCTGCTGATAATTTACTCACCCCCATGCCATCCAAGATGTCCATGTCTTTCTTTCTTCAGTCGAAAAGAAAGTAAGGTTTTTGATGAAAACATTCCATGATTTTCTCCATATAATGGACTTCAATGGGGTCCAAACGGTTCAAGGTCCAAATGAGAGTTTCAGTGCAGCTTCAAAGGGCTTTAAACGACACCAGAAGATGAATAAGGGTCTTATCTAGCGAAACGATCACTCATTTCAAAAATAATTAAAAAAGTTTACGTTTCTGTGATGTGCGTTCGTGACTCTCCTGTGAACGAAAAATGAACAAATCTTTTTTTGAGTCATTTCGTTCGTTGAATGAACTAAATGATTTGAAAAAAGATTTGTGCTTATAAACCTTAAAGTTTTTTTTATTTATTTTTGAAATGAGCGATCGTTTCCCTAGATAAGACCCTTATTCATCGTCTGGTGTCGTTTAAAGTCCTTTGAAGCTGCACTGAAACTCTCATTTGGACCTTGAACCGTTTGGACCCCATTGAAGTCCATTATATGGAGAAAAATCCTGGAATGTTTTCATCAAAAACCTTAATTTCTTTTCGACTGAAGAAAGAAAGACATGGACATCTTGGATGACATGGGGGTGAGTAAATTACTGTATCAGCAAAAGTTGTTTTTTTTTTAAGTGAACTACTCCTCACACTTACACTCTTTCGTCTTTTGTTTGTTTTTTTAACAGCAAAAATGCGGTCTGTGTGTAACCGGCCCTTAACAATGTTTAATGTACTCTCAGCCCTACCACTACAATACCTTTTATTAAAGAATAAACACTACATATAGTCTAAGGAAATATTCACAACCAAACTAAAGTATGATAATAGTATAATAGGTATTTTTTTGTCAATTTTTTTTTTAAGTACCATGACATGAGCTCAGGTTTCAAGTGTGGTTTTTTTTTTTTTTTTTTTTTTTTTTTTCAAAAAACAAACTTCTTTGTACAAGTATCAAGGCAGTATAACAAAACCCCCAACAATATATATATATATATATTTTTTTTTTTGTCACATTATCACCCATAATCAAACACACTCTCCTGACATGGAGTGTATTCAGTGAATTCATTTAGTGCAGCCCCTGTATGGCATTTTAAGTGCTTCTTTAATAGTGAAATATTTGGTTAAATGTTGCTGTATTTTTGACTTGGATATATAAATGAGTGTATTCTAGTTTGTTATATTTAGTATAAATTTATCTGTTCATATTTAATCGAGAGTGTTCATTAATTTAAATCACCTTATTTTTTTGTGCCAGAACAAATACAGATCTGATTAAATTATTAAACCTTAAACGAACTGAATGAACTTTAGTTTTAGGCTCCTGAATTCCACCTATTTTAAATGATGAGTGGCTTACAGTTTTAAAGTGTCTTCCCCAGCACTGCTGGTTTAATATATCAGTTTTGTTTGTCAAGTATCTCTGCAGGTGTAAACAAGAACACAATCAATAGAAGTAAAATTATCTCCAATATGCTGAAACTAAAGTAAAATTATTCCACAATATTCTTTCATCTCTCTGTCAAATCTTTTTAACCACCTATTCTGTGGATAAACGCTTCTCAATGAAAATGTTTGGGCAACGAAACGCTTGATGAATCCTTGATGTGAAACATTAATATTTCAGACTCTTTATCAGTTAATTTCTCTGATCTTATAGAGTGGGGTCCAAAAAGCCTGAGACCAACAGTAAAATCGTTCATGTGCGATCATGTTTTCTTTAGGGCTGTCAAACGATTAATCGCGATTAATCGCATCCAAAATAAAAGTTTGTGTTTACATAATATAAGTGGGTGCACTGTGTATAATTATTTTATATATAAATACACACTCATGCTTGTATAAATTTAAGAAACATTTTCATGTAGATTTATATATAATTTACTATAATATGCAAATATAAATATTTTATATATAAATAGTATTTTTTTCTTAAATATACATGCATGTGTGTGTATTTATATACGTATATATACAAAATAATTATACACAGTGAGTGCACCCACACATATTATGTAAACACAAACTTTTATTTTGGATACGATTAATCGCGATCAATCGTTTGACAGCCCTAATTTTCTTATTTATTAAATTCCATATTCTCCAGAATGGTTTGATAATATTGATCAGTGTTATTTCTGTCAGGACCACTATCGTCAAATTAATGAATTATTGTTAATTAATAAAATAACCCTTAGGGTTAACAGAACTAGTCTAAAGTGACCTGCCAGAACTGACGCTACTTTAATAGTTTTTTACTTAATAATAATAACACTGAGCTTCAATGTAAGTCAAATCTGACTGTCTCCTCATGATTAATATCACAAATCTGTCTAGGAATTGTTCAGAATCTTAAATATTTCTCATTCACTTCATTATAACTTTGAGTTATTTCAACTTTATTTCCAGATTTATCTGGTATTTTAAATGTGGTTTCAGACATTTGAACCCCAGTTGCTTCCTACAGATGTACTTTACTATAAAAGCCTTCATCAGCATTGGATAGCAGAATGTGGATCATGCCATTTGAGAAAACCAGAGAAAGAAGCAAGGCTCAATGTTTTCCAGTTTAAAAGAGTGGTTCTGAATGCGTGCGCATCTCAGTTGTTTGTAAAGTGATAAAGAAGAGGGTCTTTTCCCCCCTGCTTTTATTTCAGAGGCCTTTCTCCAGTCCCCGAACAGCCTCGGATTTGGCCTCGTCTCCGAACTGCTGGAGATCCTCGCTGTGCCCGCAGGATCATCCCAGCTGTCATCGGGAATCTTCCAAAACTCCTGGTTTCTGTTTTGAGGATGAGCACATGCGGCGTTCTGAAGCCCCACGGTAAAAGCAGAATCCTTTGAAACTCCTAACAATTCCTGTCACACTTTGATAATGTTCACAGATGGCGTTCTATGGTTGTTGTTGTTGTTCTTGGGGAACTGTGGAGATGGAAGCAGATGTCTAACGTTAGTGAGAGGATTCGAGCGTTCAGCACAGAACATGGTGGAGTAATGGTGAAAGATGCGGAGGTATGGACATATAATTTAACCCTATTCCATGATAATTATTTTTAGCCCTATCACATTTAGTCCAATCCCATGCAAGACGATTGTTGATTATGTATTAGGATTATATTAGGGCTGTGCAAAGATTAACCCTCTGGGGTTGTTTGGCCCAAATGGACCCAAAGAATTTAAATAATGGTTCCTCGTAATGGTCCAAAATTTGGTGACTTTGTTGGTATTTGGTATTTGAACGCCCAAAAAAATTGGGGACAGGATGTGAATAGTCTAAGTGGTTGTAAAAAAAATAGTCACACTTGGGGTGTTCGGGTCCAAATGGACCCGCATGGAAAATGAATGGGAAATTGGTGAAAATACTGAGTTTTTTTGTGCGTACAATCTACAAATCAGCCACGATCTTGAAAAAAAGCACACAACAGTGAAGGGGTGAATCTATAAAACATCAAGAGTGCAAAACAGACACACACACACACACACAAACACACTTTTATACACAAACACAACATGTTTTGCATTTTTAAAATGCTCAGTTTGTCCACCAGATGGCATCCATCTCATTTCAAAAATTGCTTTTATGAGGCCTAGGCTTGACTCTAAAATGAAATACAGCTTTAAAAAAAATATATTTTTTAAAAATATTTTTTCTATTATGTTCAATGGGGGGAAATTTTGTCATAATTATTGCATTAATACTAATTATCTTTTTTTTTTTTCTTAAAACACCAAAAAAGAAAAGAAAAAATATTATAAAAAACGAGTAAAACAAAAAAAAAATCATGATTTTTTTTTTTTTTTTTAAATATGAATCCCGCCCTTTGGGTCCATTTGGACCCGAACACCCCGAGTGTGACTCTGAAACGAACAACCCCAGAGGGTTAATCGCATCCAATCAGCTACGGGTAATTCATGAATGTGACATTGTCAAACTCATTTACATGCCAAACACTCGAGAGTTATCACGACAGAACTATAAGGTTATAATCTACTGTACATGTCAGCTAACTCTCTTTAATTTGCAACTACTTGTCAACTAACTCTCATTAGACTAGAGTATTAGTAGATCGGGTTAGTAGAATAAGCTGACATGTACTTGAAAAGTTAGTAGTCAGTTTAATGTCTGTTGGAGAGCATCAGAATAAAGAGTTCGCAGATATTAAGCTGGCAGTCTACTAATACTCTAATAAGAGTTAGTAACATAGTTGCAAAATTACTTAGAATAACTTGCCAAATTGCATTATGGCAAGTGCATTTATAGCTAAACCTATGAAAATAAGACTGTATGTTTAATGTTTACTGAGAAAATGAGGCTTATATTGTCTTTTTCAGACATGAAACGAAATGTTAATGGAGTTTGGCAGGAGTGATAATTCGGGACGGTTCACCTGTCCAGTGTGGTCTGTCTCTCATAGGGTGGTGGTTATACCTTACTGCGCAGCAGGCCCCCTGATGGATGCTCAGGGGTACTGCATTCTGACGAGTTCTTGGCTTTGTCCTTGTTATTGTTTGGCTCGTTGTCTTTGATGATGTCATACTGGCGGCAGAAGAGCGCGATCACACCTGAAAGCGACAAACATCTTATTGTTAAACGGCAGAGGTGGACAATAACGAAGTACATTTACTTGAGTACTGTACTTAAGTACACTTTTTGAGTATCTGTACTTTACTTGAGGATTATTTTTTTCAGAAAACTTGTTACTTTAACTGAGAGACAAATATCGTACTTTTTACTCGACTACATTTCTGTCAATGTCCTCGAGTAGAAAGTAGTGATGTTAGTCAAGGCATGATTTTTTTCCTTCTCTAAAACGTGATTTTTTTTTTTGCGGCTGACAGACAGCCAATCAGTGATCACTCCTGTCGGGAAGATTGACGATTTAGTACGATTTCTCTTTACTAGTGATCTGTGAGAGACCGCATCGTTGTCACAAGTAATGTTTTGAAAGTTTTGTTTTCATGTTGTGCTTTTTGTTAAAGCAGTATTGCTGTTGGGCAGTTATACAGTTAAAGTAAAATACTGTTTATTTTCAATACTGTTCGATATAAATACTGTTTGTTTTCACACGCAATCCGCTCGTTTCGTGTCTTAGGCCATCAATGTGTACTTACATTTACGAGTCATTAAGTCATGTTTAATTTGGACTTCTCTGTGCATGCTCTTTGAGGTGGTGACCATAGACCTCCATTATATGACTGACAGACACGAGCGGTTTGACCTAAAAATATAAAATACTGCGGAAACAAAGACACCTACATCTTGGATGCCCTTGAGGTAAGCTAAAACATACCAAAAAAATTAATTTCAAAGTGAACTATCCCTTTAATTGTTATTATATGATTTCAATGTATTATCATAATCATAAACACAATGGTTTGTAGCACAAACGGTTACTGAAGTCTGAAGTCTTGCACATTCACAGAAAACACTTCCGCGTTGCAAAATAAGGTGGATTGTCTAAAGCTAAAAGATACTCCTCCGGACTGTAAAGCGGGGGGAAGTGTAACGTTTTCCATCCTTCATGAAGCAGGGTTCGAGTGAGGTTGTGATGGTCCAGAGCTCACCTGCCCACATGATCAGAACCACCACAATGATGATGATCTCTCCTGCCCTGAGCTGAGCGTTCTGCCCAACTTCCTCCATGGTGACTTCGTCTGGCAAGAACACAACCACATCATTAGTGGTATGTCAAATATTTATTATAAATAACGATGGTTTTATAACTATCCCATATTTTATATGATCACATTTTCATTAGTAAATAATACTGAAAATTCAAAATTATTCAAATCTACTCATAAAGCAGTTTCATATAATTCTGCATCATGTTTGCTGCCTCAATTACATTTTAAGAGTCACTGTAAAATCTTTAAAACCCCGGTACTATTATATCAGAGACTACTTAAAAATCTCTCAATGTCCCTATGTTGCAGCACTGTAGATAGATTCAAAACATGAGCTAATCACGGGTTATTGATTGACTGGGATGAACTGCATCTTTAATGAAACTAATGGATCTTAAAGATGGTCTTTTAGACTGAATTGGTTTTATTTGTTTATCACTGAGTTGAGAAGTAAAAGAAGAGATGAAATGTCTTATTATTGGTGATTTTTAGTCCAGAAACAGTCTTTATTATTATTAAATTAAGAATTAAGTGTTGCCAAATTAAAGGCTTAATCAGATGTTTCTTCAAGAAATGATGCATTTCTTAGAGTAGTTCAATTTTAAAAACTTATTTAAATTTTTTTTTTTTAAATTAACTTTTGCTGATAATTTACTCACCCCCATGTCATCCAAGATGTCCACGTCTTTCTTTCTTCAGTTGAAAAGAAATTAAGGTTTTTGATGAAAACATTCCAGGATTTTTCTCCATATAATGGACTTCAATGGGAACCAAACGGTTCAAGGTCCAAATGAGAGTTTCAGTGCAGCTTCAAAGGGCTTTAAACGACACCAGGCGATGAATAAGGGTCTTATCAAGCGAAACAATCAGTCACAAACGGCCATCAAAATTAACTAATATTTTTTTGAGTCATTCAACGAACGAAATGACTAGAAAAAAGATTCGTTCATTTTGACGAACGCGCATCACAGAACAGAGCAAGGCGAGCATTTGTGCTTATAAAACTTAAACTTTTTTATTTATTTTTTAATGATCGATGGTTTCGCTAGATAAGACCCTTATTCATCGTCTGGTGTCGTTTAAAGCCCTTTGAAGCTGCACTGAAACTCTCATTTCGACCTTGAACCGTTTGGACCCCATTGAAGTCCATTATATGGAGAAAATCCTGGAATGTTTTCATCAAAAACCTTAATTTCTTTTCGACTGAAGAAAGAAAGACATGGACATCTTGGATGACATGGGGGTGAGTAAATTATCAGCAAAAGTTTTTTTTTTTAAAGTGAACTACTCCTTTAATATTTTTTATATAATAAGTAGTCAAATACATCCCTCTTTCTCTTCCTCTCATGATTTATTGAAATATTTGGGCAAGCAAAGATGGCTATATGGTTGTCAAGGAAAAGGAATGATAATAGATAACAACTGATGTTATTTCAGTGTTGAAATGATTAATTAAATCCCCTATCAACAGAGAATTATCACAAGCTGATATTGTAAATGATTTGAAGATTTTTCATTCTGATGACTGCTTGCAAATCTATATTTATAAGTAATGTTTGCTTGTAAAACTACTCTCATATTTGTGTGTATATTTATTTATTTTTCATCACCAGATCACTCTCTCTCTCTTTACTTATTTATTGATGTTATAATGATACTAAGCACACTTATACCCACAGTGTGTTTGTGTCAGTACCTTTGCTCTTAGAGGCCTGTGTTTCTGCTTCTTTGGGGGTTTTGAAATGCAGCGGTTCACTGAGGGGACTCGGTCCGCTTATACTGATAGACTGAACGTGCACAATATAGTCTGTATCTGCCTCCAGATCCCACAACGCACAGCTCCTCGTGGTAGTGTTCACTTCTTGGATAAAGCGCAGCATGCGAACGTCTTTTTTCTGTTATGGAGAGATGAAACTAGTATTTAACCAAATGCTTTCTCTTTTGTGAGATGCTTTCTGCTAATGAACGTGAGTGCTGAGTGTGTGACCTTTCCTTTCTCTCTCACTCACGCATCTTCTGATTACCTGTTGTGTGATGGCAAAGCCGATGACTGGCTCTCCGTCCGGGGTGTCCCATGTCACCACAGCTGAGCTGCCCTTTAAATCTCTGATGGACACGTTCACCGGAGCAGCCAAACTGTCTGAGAAGAACAGAGAGCGCTTCATTCAAATAATCTTCACAATAGCAGACCTCTGATCCACTTTAAGTTGTTGGTGTTGGAGTATTTCACAATCTGATTTTCACACACAACCATTTCTAGGGTTTACAAAGAATGGTGTGAAGAAGAAACAGAATGAAAACATGGATCCATCATGCCTTGTTACCACTGTGCAGGCTGGTGGTGGTGGTGGTGTAATGGTTTTCTTGGCACACTTTAGGCCCCTTAGTGCCAATTGGGCATCGTTTAAATCCCACGGCCTACCTGAGCATTGTTTCTGAGTCTGACCATGTCCATCCCTTTATGGCCACCATGTCCCCATCCTCTGATGGCTACTTCCAGCAGGATAATGCACCATGTCACAAAGCTCGAATCATTTCAAATTGGTTTCTTGAACATGACAGTGAGTTGACTGTACTAAAATGGCCGCCACAGTCACCAGATCTCAACCCAATAGAGCATCTTTGGGATGTGGTGGAACGGGAGCTTCGTGCCCTGGATGTGCATCCCACAAGATGCTATCCTATCAATATGGGCTGACATTTCTAAAGAATGCTTTCAGCACCTTGTTGAATCAATGCCATGTAGAATTAAGGCAGTTCTGAAGCCGAAAGTGGGTCAAACACAGTATTAGTATGGTGTTCCTAATAATCCATTAGGTGAGTGTATTTCAGTTCTCATATGCGTCCCAGTTCTACATGTAGGTGTTTGTGTGTGTTTGTTGAAAGTTGAAGTGTTCTCGGGTTTGTTGAATGAGTGCCGTGTCCTTCAGAGAGCTCAAGCGCTGTTCTTTCTCTTCTCTAGCTACATTGTTTAGACGCCACTATTTCACACACATTGGGTTAAAATGCTATTTCTAGAAGATAGAGGACGTGGTAATGAAGCCGTTTGGAGGGATGATGTGCGAGAATCTCACCCATCAGTAGGATTTATGGAGGCCTAGATGAAAAAAAATAAATTGTATGCATATAAGCCCCTCTATGCCGACATGTCAGGTGATTGACAAAAATTGTTTGTAATGTGTTGCTACAGTGAGCACAGAATCTTTGTAAGTGTAAATGGATTGCATTCATGTTTTATGCATAGGTCTATGCTATGCACTTTTCCCCAAGCATTTTAATCCTTTATGAACTATATGTGAATATTTGAGGTTGTAGAAATATTTTGAGAGATTTGTTTGTATATATATATATATATATATATATATATATGTATATATGAAGAGTTCAGATGCAAAAGCCTCTAAATGCCATTTGAAATTTTCTTCTTTAATGATGATTTTTATCAAACTTGTATATTTAAGCTCAGTAATTTCACTTAAATAACAATTAATAGGTAATTATAATTGCCATTTAAGTGAAATCACTGAACTTAAATATACAAGCTTGATAAAAATTATCATTCTAGAAGAAAATTTTAAATGGCACTTCGAGGCTTTTGCATCTGAACTCTTCATATATATATATATAAATCATCCCTATTTTGTCTTCACTAGCCTGAATGCATTAATACCATGATCAGAGATAGTCCAACTCATGAATTCATGATAGTGCGACTCATGAATGACTCTTATAAACAAATACTCGATGTCAAACTTGAATCGTTCTAAACACTCTCTCATTGAATCAGTATAAGTGGTTCTTGTCTTGCTGAACAGCAAGCCGATATTTTTAGTATTTAGAAATGTTACTTACTGCGTACTGAAAAATTGTTTCCAATCTGAAACTGCTAGTAAATGTCACGAACAATTACAAAGAAACAGCACATTGAATTAAACAAGACATTTTTAAGTAGAAAGATTAAAATAGCATTTTCTTGTAAAACTCTTAATTTTGTTTTTACCGTGTGTATACATAAGGCTCGTACTATGCTTTTTAACATGTCTGATATTCACAAACCTTTTTCAGTGTATAATGTAATTTAAATAATTCCCGGTGTTCTGTCGATTTTTGCTGCCTTGTCGAAAAATGCTACCGTAGCGCGAATTGATCACAGAATGCCGATTAAAGTCGTATGAAGTACAATTCTAATACAATTCTAAGTTACGAGTAGCTACTGAATACTGTAGACTACTGTTTTTATTTTTAAAACGGTGTGAAAAGTAAAAATTATCATAAAATATTCATCTTTGACTTGTCAAAGTACACCTTTTCTTCTAGTAACTGAAACTTTCAGTTATTCCTTTTCAGCTGTCTGACCGTACAAATATTCATATGGTAGTAAGCATTTTTTAAAGCGAAATTATACATTATAACAGGAAAATGTACCTTTTGTAAACAAAAAAAACAAAAAACAAAAAAAAAACTGTGAGTCTGCACATGCGCATAACCGGTAAGTAGGAAATCTCGATGGGTAGCATAAATTGTCAGAACACCGGCCTAAGGCATACGCAACATAAAGGGGCGGGGCCTGGTTGAGTTAGTTAACAGTGAAACTGTCGGTTTTGGTGAGGGACACTTGAATTGTTGACCAATCGCAACACACTGATCCAGCCGACCAATCAGAGCACACTGCGCTTTTCAAAAGGAGGGGCTTCATAGAGACAGGAACTATACAGGGGCCAAATATGGTCACAAGTTCTGTTGTTACCAATAGAGTTCAATGGAACTTGTGACCATTACTGACAGACTGGAAATAGAGGTGCCAATGTCGAATATGTGAAAAATCATGTTTGTTTTGAACATCTAAGCATGAAAACCTTTTCTAGTTGTAAAAACAAAATCAAGACTTAAAAAGGACATAATAGGTGCCTTTAAAGAAAGAGAGAAAATTCCCTAAACAGTTGTACCACTTTCTCTTGGACCATGATTCTCTTCAAACTGAAAAATGACCATGGAAGTGGCAGTTTATGCTAATGCATGCTGAAAATGTGTACATGCATTTGTCTTCTGACAATATTTAGAAGATGACGCATAAAATCAAGTTTTTGTAGCTAGAAGCATCTGTCGAGTATGTTTCGGCATAATAGCTCCCTAAGACATAGTTGATGGTGCATCTGTTTGCTGCTTGTAGTATATAGACTCCCCTATAGGCTGTAGAAAGGCATTCTGGGAACAAAAACATTCACATGCTGTTGAATTATAAATGAAGCACACCACATGGATGTGGAAGACGGGCTGAAACACATCAACCTGGCACTTAATTCATTCACTTTATTGGGATTTGTACGGACATTAATTCAGAAATCATTCAAATTAACATATAGACATCTGCATTTAATTCTTTACAAAACATCATTTTACAACACTTTAAATTAATAATGATTTTTGTGTTTTTTGTATAATTAGCCATGCTTATGGTGATGTTATGTATTCTATTCTGGTAAACTCTAGGTTGTTTAATTGAATCTCCTTACAAAATCAACTGAGACTGAAAATAAAGAATGACTCAATCTAGAAAACAGATCAAAATGATTGTAATAAAGGAGGAATAAAATGAAGGGAGGCTTTGGAGTGAATAACTAATAATGTTCCTCTGGGGGTTTTGATTTTCATTTTGTTCAAAGCCTCGCTGATTTCTTTTGAGTTAATGCAACTGTTTTACACAAAATGAATAAGCCAATGAACAAGCCACATACCGTGTGAGGGCAATTTCATAGAAATGAAACAGTATAGTTTAATAGCTGTAGGCTATTTATAGTTGTCAAGCAATGTCGCAATATGAAGAAAAATGTAAGGAAATATAAGAAAATGTGCCACTTCAACAGATACTGTAAAACTAGTTGTCATTGCAGTACGAGTGAGTGTGTGTTTCTGAGGGAAAATGCGTATTTTTTAACTTTATATGGAAACAAGTTTGTGTTGATAGCCATGCATGAACTGTTTATGGAAGAGATTCACCACAAATTCTCCTTTTGTGTTTCACAACACACTGGCTTATGACGAGACATGAGGGTGAGTGAATAATGACACAATATGCATTTTTGGGTAAACTATTCCTTTAAAGGCATAGATACACTCTCAGAAAAAAAGGTACGAAAGCTGTCACTGGGGCTCTGTACCTTTTCAAAAGGTAAACTTTTGTCCATTTTAGGTGCTAATATGTGCATATCAGGTGCTAATATGTACATTTTAGGTGCTATGTACATTTTAAGTGTTAATATGTACATTTAAGGTGTTAATATGTACATTTTAGGTGCTAATAAGTACATTTTAGGTGTTAATATGTACATTTTAGGTGCTAATATGTGCATTTTAGGTGCTAATATGTACATTTTAAGTGTTAATGTGTACATTTTAGGTGTTAATATGTACAAATTTAGGTGTTAATATGTACATTTTAGGTGCTAATATGTCCATTTCAGGAGCTAATATGTCCATTTTAGGTCCTAATATGTAGATTTAGGTGCTAATATGTACATTTTGGGTACGTACTAATATACATTTTAGGTGTTATGTACATTTTTAGGTGCTAATATGTACATTTTAGGTGCTAATATGTACCACTAAGGTACCAATATGCAGCCTTTGGGTATAAAAGTGTACCTTTTGAAAAGGTACAGCCCCAATGACCGCTTTTGTACCTTTTTTTCTGAGAGTGTAAGATTTTTTTGCTACAAGAGGGCGCAGTTTCCAACAATAACAACGGCGTAGGTTGATGACGCAGTGATGAGATGAATGATGGGACTTGCTGTCAAGCTGACGGATCTAATAATGTTTATGGATGAGTGCAAACATTCATGTTTTTAACATTACAGTGGTATGAAGCAGGTCGCGAGACTGATATCACACGCGAGTCCCGCGGATATAAGGACATTTAATTCTACCGAACTACCTGCAAGTGCTGGATTACTCACACAGGTCAGTTTATTAGACAAATTAAACTTGTGAGGTAACGCAGCGCTGCGGTCTAAAATTACACTATCACACTAAACGGCATTTAGATGTGTGTTGAAAGTTATAATGTTATGCTATGCGTTAGTTCGTTTGCTATACGAAACTAGTAGTAAGCTAGATCAACATTAGAATACATACTGACCATATTCTAACATTTCTTCATGTTGCGCTAACATTATATAACATTGATTTGTTTTATATACATTTGCTCACCTGTCTAATAAAGCTGTCAAGTCGTGACTCATGAAGCTCTGTCAAGTCCACGTTAGTCGCGGACGCTAGCTCTCGGCATCTCAAAAACGCCACGCTGAAATTGATCCTCATTTTAGTTCTCCTTGTTTGTCCCAAAGTCTGCTTGCCATGGTCTATGATTGAAAGAAACAAGAACTGCGTACGACTAAATGTTACGCACTACGGCTACGCAGTTGTTGACGTCTGTCGCCATGGTTACGTCATGCTATGGCAGTATGAACGTAAACCGAGGATAGCGCGAATATTGCGTCATTGACAGGCGACATTTTTTTTTTCTGGGACGGCCACTTATTTAAAATTGAATTCTCTGAAATAAAAATAAATCTTTGGAGACTTTTTGGGATATTGTAAGTGTACAACTGCAGGAAAGTAATTTTTGGATATTTTATTACAAAATTCTTACATATTGTACCTTTAAGCCGTTAATCACATCATATTATTTTTTCTGTGCTGACCTGAATTGCTCAGCCAAGTCCTTGGGCCTTTATTTTAGCATTTTCTCGTCTTCTCAGCCACACTTTCATTTCAGTGTTAAATGCTTTTCCCTAAAGTAAACTTGCAAAGTATTTTCTACTGAAAGCTCAATCTCCTGTCACTGGAGCCTCTAAAAGCATCAAGGAACTGATGGTTGCAGCTGCCAGAAGACAGTTTCCATCCTGATTCATTGCTTTTCCCACTTTACTAGCGGTTGAATATGGTGCATTAAGATATAAAATTTATAGCCCATTACGTTGAAGTAGGTTGTGGTAGTTTGGATTTATTATTTTGCTGGTTCTGGCCGCATTAGAGGAGGCTTCTTTATGGTGCAGCATTAATGTGTCCTGCTTAAATTAGGTGGTGACAGCATCACTTAAGCATCTATCACTTGTGTCTTTCTCTAATTGCACTTTGAAGAGATTTGCATGCCAAATCATTGCCAACTATTTAAAAAATATATGAATATATTTAATATTGAATACTGCAAAAAAAAAAAACTATATAATTTCAAATAGCCTACACAAGACACATTGTCTGCTGTGTTTTGCGGTACTTTATATTATTTTCCCGGGCTCTCTACATCACATCATTAGGCTACACATGCCACATGTGCCCACAATTGCAATGCCTCATCGGATGTCATAATTAATGGGATGTGCAACAGTCCCCAGAAATGCATTATTTTTAATGGAATGAAATCTTGTAAACTTACCAGCCAAGACCCACGACACCCCGAAACAGCTCAGAAGGAGCATCGATGTGGGCATGAAGACCCTCCTCATCCTCTCCACGCTGGCAGGATGTGGATGTCTCGCATTCACGTCGATGAATGTCTGAAGCTCTGTGTTTCGGCTCCACACACCAGCTCTGCTTCAGTTACATCGTTCAGCAGCGGATGTTCATATGAACACATTTAAACGGAGACATTCCTCGTCTTTGCGATGTTTTTTCATACGGCTGTGTAGCAGACTGACTGACTGACTGACTGACTGAAGGAGAATGTGGAGAGCCTGTAGCATCTCTCTCTCTCTCTCCCTCTCTCATCGGCACACACACACACACACAATTTCACACTTTGATTATGCGTCTCTCTCACATTCGCGATTTCAATATAGGTGCTATGAGTCATCGGTAATTTTTTCCATTGTGATTTGGTGATATGATTAATTTGAATATGCCTACTAGATTTTTTAAAATTTAAATATTTTAATTTTATTTTAAAAGTAGGCCTAGCCTATAGAAAAGTGTTAACCCCTTTTCCTCATTTACATGCACACCATTTTACAATCAAGATCTTTATTATGCTTATGGCGTTCCAATTCATATTCATGCCCAATTCATATAACTCTTTCCTTGCCAGCTTTAATTTAAAAAAAAAGTTGCCAGCATTTTCGAACATTTGCACAAATGTTTCATGGCCCCCAGAATATTTTATTGAATGAATATGCCTATCTGAACATTAATCTATCAAAATAAAGAACATACCCTGCTTTTAAACAACAACAACCCTTTTATTCTAACTTCATGCATTGCTTTTTTTAACAACAATTTGGAAGAGAACTCCGATTTTAAAACTTCAATTTTAACATTGAGCTAATTTTTTTTTTTTTTTTTTTTTTTTTTTTGTACATTTGGAGTGCTGTCAGTACAGACAAAAACAACAAAAATAGTAGTCGATTGTCGAGTTCGCGCGCACGATCATTGGTAACTATGATGTTCAACATCTGATTCGGATGAACCAGAGCCTGGGATGATCTATCCATTTGAGCTGATACTCTCAGAACACCACACAGCACCATTATCGGCTGACAGCAGCTGACAGTCTGAGTCTCCACTGTTGCTTAGTTACCAATAATCGCGCGCGAACTCGACAATCGACTATTGTGGACTTCGACCCAAAAAAAGAAAAAGAAAAACAGGAAGTAAATGCAGGTATGTGAGCTGGCTGAATTAACATATTTTTTTTATTAATATCTTCGCATCTACTGCAGTCAGATTGACCGTGGTCACTCTTAATAACTCCACTCACATGGCTGTGCACTTGTAATGACAAATCAAGGATGTTAAGAGGCTCAAAGCAGGTTTAGAACATGCCCCATTGAAGTCAACAGGGTGCGAATTTTAAAAAGAGGGTAACACGGTGTAGGCAACACCGATTTTTGTCATTTTTGTCTGACAGCACTCCAAATGTACAAAAAATTAGCTCAATGTTAAAATTGTTCTCCATTTTCCAATTGTTCGGTAAAGTTCTCCATTTTTAAAAAGCTAAATTTTAATCAAGAAGCTGAGAAAATAGCATTCTTTCAAAGACTGCCTGGATTGTATTCAGAACGACGATCCATTCCAAACACAGATTGAGTAGATCGAGGCCATCAACACCCCTAAAGCTTCACAGTCCTAAAGCTCGTCCTGGGCCAACATTTCATCCAGTTTTAATTTATATGCTGATTAATTTTTGATGTTCGTGTTATTGCTTATGCAGATATGCTATCGCTTGTTTCTGCTTCTTCTTCCCCTGTGTTTCAGTACTCTTTCAGAAGATGTGTAATAGCGCCCCCTACCGTATAACAGTGAAAACATGGAAAGACGGAAATCTTATCGAAATATAATATCGAAATATCTGATTACTGCTATACAATGAATATGTTCATTATTTTATTAAATAGATTTTTTAACCCTAGAAATAAGTGTTAGCCTATTTAGCTTCCTTTAGTGTGCAACAACTCTTCTCGTGTTTCTTTACTCATGATACTCCTCTCTGAGTGCTATTGTGACTGCTTGTGTCCGAGCACTTCTGATGCAGTTCATCTTCACTAATTTAATCCTCAGCAATGCATGTACATATTCATAACTTTTGACAAACATAGGCTACACTTACATTGCAGCATATTCTGGCCATGAAGCACTTGATATTTATGCTTATTTTGGTTTTATTTATTCCTTCACTTTGCATATTGCTGGTTATTTATGGTGTGGAATTGAAATATTTTGTGCGTGTATTCAGATGCAAATGTGGGATAAGAGCGTACATTCAGGTCTCATTTCACTGAGAGACTGATAGTGAGAGAGTTAATTTGTGAGACTGACTGACACGTAAAGTGACCGAATTAAATTTTTTTACCTCTAGGGTCGGATTATCTAAAAGCTGATAGGACAATAATAGACTACTGCGGAAAACAATAGGCTACTTCAAACAATAGCGCAGCAGTCTTAGTGAATAATGCGTGTATACCGAGTTTGTGATTTCAGTCCATCCAAAAGTGATAAGCACTGGTTATTTCACAGACAATACCAGTGGTGCTCATGAATGTCTTCTCTCCTGCTCTCTTCTTCAGCATGAGGCCTGATAATGACTGACAAGCGCAGTTTAATCTCATTACTGAAGTCATTCACTCGTGTTCGCCGTGACACTTCAACACGAGTTCAGATACATGCAGAAACACACACAAACAAGTGAGAGGTTTGGACATCTTCTCGATGGAAATGTCAGCCTGTGAGAGATGAGAGATTCTCCCACACAAGAGCATGTAATGAGTCTGGGTTTGCCACACAGTGACAGAGCACAATTGGAAAGCTTCTTCTGTCCAGATCTGAGCTGTGCATTGCCAATTTATTATTGAACATCCTAAATGAACATGCCTTCAGGGCTCTTGTAGAGGTCATGCACGGTTTTAGAGGACCAACAGCATAAGTTGGCTGGTCATAATTTGTGTGCATATATTTTGAACTTTCCATCTAAAGTTATTTAACCTTCAAATGGTCTTCGTTTCCAGTTTGCTTCGGGGTCTATACGACCCCAACAACTGATTGAGTAATTATACAAAAAAGTATACATTTTTAATCATACAAATAATATGTAATTTTTTTGTTTACTTCTCATCTATTCATTAATGCTGTGTTTTTTGGAGATATAAAGTACTTTTGTATCATACCACACAATTCCTCAACTACACCATTTGCTTGCATATGAATTTTTTTTTTTTATGATACATTTATGCTCTAGTACCAGACCTTCATTTCTGTGTAAAAAAAATTCAGATTTAGGCCTGATTTTTTTTTTTTTTTTGACAGTTATTTTCACATTTCCCATTAATTTCAATGTGGGGTCATACTGACCCCCGAAGACCAGCAGAGTAAACATTTTTTTAACATATCTTCAGAACAACTGAATCAAGCCCATTTTTTTGTGTGTGTGTGTGTCTGTGTATAGATAGATAATGTATGAAAAGTCACAAAATCGTATTCCGCTGAGATGAAGGGAAGCTTTTTTTTTTTTGTTATTAAGTAAAAGTCGGTTGGGGTCATATAGACCCCATAACCCGATTGAGGGCTACACAGTATTTGGCCTTTTTATAATAATCATATGAATGCTAATATGAATCGAGAGACTACAGAATATTGATATATTGATGTCAGAACTGTTTATTATACAAAAGATTCAGATTTATATAAAATATTATCCTAAAATAACTCTTTATGCATTATAATACACATTTTAACATTCAATACAAATGCATACATTTCAGGTCAAATTATTAATTAATTAGCTTTTTATCCATTTTCTGGTTTCTGCAGACAGTGAAACTCATGAATTCGATACCTCTCTCTCTCTGTGTCTCTATTTTTCACTGTTTTGTGCATTGTGATAGGCTTAAAAACCTGTTTTTGATGCTTAATTTCATGTTTGTGGATTTTAAAGTAATACTTGCAAAGGTTGGTTTTATCTTTAGGTTCAAGTTTTGGGGAAAAAAAAAAGAGGAAAAAAGGGCAACTTGTTAACTTTGTTATTGGAAAGGCGAAAATGGCTATTTATCTGACAAGAAAGGGAAAGATGGATGGTGAAGTTGGTCGGGATGTAGTACAAGTATTTAAGAGTTTAGTAAGAGTTAGAATTAAATTAGATTTTTTATTCTTTAAAACTATGAATAATATAGAGGATTTTGAAAATGTATGGAAATGCAGTGCTGAGGTGGTGAATTAATTTTTGCTAAATGTCTAGAGTAAAGTGTATGCTTGTTATTGTTTTTAAATGATTTAGACAATTAAAGTGTTATAAAAAAAAAAATCTCTGTCTCTCTCTCTCTATCTCTCTTCCACTTTTTTCCTATCTACATACTGTCCTATCATAATAAAAGGCAAAAATGCCAAAAAAACTTTAAGCTCCATACACACAGAGAATAGAATCAGCATGTTTTTCATCAACTTGTCTCTTCATGAGGTTGGGGGAACTTGAACTTGCGTGTCTCTATCTCTCCATATTAAATCTTTAAGTTGTTACATCACAAGCCACAGCGATTCTCATCAAACTTCCCAGCCTTCACCTCTCGCTGTCTCCTGGGGTTTTCTGGCCATCTGAACTCAGGACATCAGGAAGACTGTGTGTGTGTGTGTGTGTGACGCAGGACTCCTGACCTCTACAGAGGTAACAGGAAGTTCTCAAAAATGCTGACATCATACTTTCCTCATCTCGTTAAAATGTATGATTTGCCATCAGTGACTGTTGTGTGTGTGTGTTCTGTTCCAGACAGAAGATGTGTGATGAGGTGTCACATCACTGTCGTACTGTACTGAGATCAGAGTAATGATGTGGCGTAACTGGTAGCCGGTACCAGTAACCGGTGAGTGCATATCTGTTCTTAATGTTAATTGAACACATTAGTCAATCACCAAAACACTTCTAGAGCTTTTATTAACCTTAGTGGTATTTTAGACATTCACTAATACATTATTATTCAAAAGTTGTTAATCTGTTAATTGGACATGAACTAACCATGAGCAGTTGTGTTATTATTGTTAACTAAGAACAACTGCATTTCTCATTGTTAGTCAATTAATAATGTTAATTAGTTGCCACTTTATTTCAAAATCTGTATTAGTCAGACAGTCAATTTTAAATTAATATAGTTGTTTTTACCAAATAAATGTGAAATAGATTTTTATTTTATACTTTGAAATTAAATCTACACATATTTAATAAAAATCAATACTGAAAGTCAGGAGTAAAACAT